GAAGGATAATCTCTTCTCTTATGTTGCCATTCATGAGCATGCATGACTTATCTACCAGGGACTTGTTCCTTTCAGTTCAAAGTTAGTATTTCCAAATTTGAGTCCATGAACCTCTTTCTCTCATGTCCTATCTTTTCACAATAAAGAAAGCTAAATCTAAGGCAGGGGGAAATATTCCACTTCAGTAGTCTCATACTTTTTTTTTTCTTTGTGGTACGCAGCCTCTCACTGTTGTGGCCTCTCCCGCTGCGGGGCACAGGCTCCGGACGCGCAGGCTCAGCGGCCATGGCTCACGGGCCCAGCCGCTCTGCGGCATGTGGGATCCTCCCGGACCGGGGCTCGAACCCGTGTCCCCTGCATCGGCAGGGGAACTCTCAACCACTGTGCCACCAGGGGAGCCCTCCACTTCAGTAGTAATCAAAGAAATCCAGGTGCTTCCCTGGATTTAGTGACAAATATATTAATTGCAGTGTGGTTTATAATACAGAAAAATTTGAAATGACTAAAATATTTAACAATTGGATATTGGTTAAACTATGGTATAATCATATAAAGAAATAATCTATAGTCATTTAAAACAATGTTGAAAAGATTATCGATGAAGAAAGATGTTCACCATATCGTGAACATCTCGTTAAAAAAGCAGATTAAAGATTAGCATGCTTTGTATATTCCAAGTTTATTATGGAAAGTATATATATATATATATATATATATACATAGGTGTCCATAAAGATAGGCCTGGAACTATGTACTAAAAAATTAACCCCACTATTTCTGGGTGGTGAAATTTAAGATAGTTTAAAACTTTTCGTAATTATCTGCATTTTCAAAGTTTTTATAATTTATATATATATTTACATTAGTGAAGCACAACAGCTACTTCTAATTTAAATAAATCAATATGAATATGCATGGAGAAGCTAAGACATCCATGACCCTGACGATGATAGCAAGTCAAGGAGCCTGTGAATCTAGGATGGAGACTGTGTGTTGCCTACTCCAATATCCACTTCACCCCTTTCCCTTAGCTTTAGCACCCCAAGTTTTAGCTGGGCACACTGCTGAAATAAAAGACTACATTTCCCAGCTTCCCTGGCAGGTCAAGACTAGATTCAGACCATTGAGATGTAAGTGGAAAACCCATGTGGGACTTTAAGAACTTTCACTAAAGGGCATGGGTTTACTTCATTTCCCCCTTTTTCCTTCTCACATGGACGTTGCAGCTGCCACACGAGTCCATGATATGGAAGCCACATGCAGAGGATGGCAGAGGAGAAAGATAGCCATAGGTTGCTTGTGACAGATGGAGATCCCATGTCAGCTCTGGACTGATGGCCTTCACAGTACTTTGTATTATAGAAACATAAATTTCTATATCCTTTAAACCACTGTTATTTGGGGATTTTCTGGTTTTTGTAGCCACGCCCAGGCCTAACTAATATACAGACTAATTGTGTTTGTAGTTGTCGCTAACTGATCAGAACCCTTTCAGAAGGGCTTCTAAGAATTAGTTGTCCAGAAAAAGAAAAGATATGGAGCATCATAAAAACGATACTTTCAGGGACTTCCCTGGCGGTCCAGTGGTTAGGACTCTGCGCTTCCACTACAAGGGGTGCAGTTCGATCCCTGGTCCGGGAACTAAGATCCTGCAAGCTGCGCCGTGCGGCCAAAAAAACAAAAAACAAAACAGAAAAACACCCATACTTTCAAATGTATCTACACTAGCATGTTGAGTTTCTTGAATTTCTAGATGACTCATTAGTTGATTTTTTTGGTTTTTTTGATGCAGCAGATAAGCCCATCTAGACATGATCCCAAATGTTGATACAGCCAATTTGGAGGCGATAGCCACCAAATATAATTCTTAATTACATAAAAGTTAAACGTTAAATGGATGTTAATTATGATGAAAATAGTGACATTTTTACACCAGTGCAAGTGTGGCTTATTAAAGTACAGAGGCTTTTAATAAATATTTAGAAAAAAACAGCCTACTGCTAAAGGGAAGTTTGTCATCTGGGATGTATTGTTAAAGGAATTTTTACCAAATGAATATTTCCGTGAACTAACCTATAACTGAGAGAAAAACTGCATTGACCTCTGAAACAATCAATCCATGGATTCTTTAACATTAAATCTCATTGCTACAAAAATTAGGAGGAACAGTATAATTTGTACAGTGAATGGACAGAATAATCTATTACTCTCTTTTGGGGACATGCAACTTATTTTCCCAGATTTCATCACTATGTGGCTAATTTAAAGAACAGTGTCATTGGGTGCTTCGAGGATTTAAACCTTGATGACGCTGAAAAGTGTCTTTTGTTAGCACTGCTTCTATACAAACACTCAGGCATTTCGAAACGATTTTTGAAGTGGTCTGATAGTACAGGCAATTAAAAAACACAAAGTTAATTCCTTCCATCCCGCAACTGTACGACATTAGAAATGAAAGTGGCCTGAGTTAAAAAAAAAAAAAAGAGGTTTTAGAGAGACATCCTCTTTTTCTTTCTTTCTTTTTTCTCTTTATCAGTGCAAATGTTCATGTTTTCATCTCTGTAGGATTCTTTCCTCACTGCATTCCACAAGCCCAGAGGAACTCGCTGGAACTCATACAAAACCCTCTCCTGCTACCATATTAGGAATCAAAATGTGTAGCAGAAACCAACTGCCAAGTCGAGATAATCAACAGGGAATGTCTGTGCCTTCAAGCCAAATGAGTGCAGAAAAATGATCAAGGCAGCAAAATAAATAATAAAACTGAGGACTGGCTTTAGATTATGGTCTTGTTATATCCCACACACTAATAAAGCTGTGTTGGAAATTTCTGTACCTCTTGGCCATTCAGGTACCAGAGTCAAGTTCGGTCTAATTTTATTGTGGATATAATTCACTCTAGGTCACAAGTGGAGCAAAGTGAAATAATATATCTCTGCCTTATTAACTACATCAAAAATTGTGGTTTGCATGCCTCCTAAATCTTCTACCTTAATACCAACCTGATTCTGCAATACTTGAAAATTTAGATTTTTCTTTTTCCAACTTTTGGAAAGGGTCTATAAGTATATGGAAGTTACCAGAAAACTTTCCGGCTATTGTTTTCACTCCAGGTGAAACTGGTTATGTTTTCCTAATTTATATGCAGCACTTGATCCATCATGTACTTGACTGGAAACAAATTTTTAAATAATACATGTGATAATTTAAGAGATACTTCAAACCACAACACAGTGGTTCTGGAGTCCAAGCAAGGGACAGGATGGGGATTATACAGTGAGGGCTGAGCCATTATCTAGTGAATTAGACTATTGTGGAACTAGCTGCCTGCTTTATTAAGACAGTAATGATTACACCTGAGAATGCAATGCTGGCACGATGAGAAATTTGACCTTGCAGCCACATTTCAGAAGTTTTAAAGGAGGCAGGGGTAAGAAATGAGGAGATCAGAGGACAGAAGTTCTCATAAATCAAGACAACAGATGACAGGAGCCTGGGTGAGAGCATAATTGTAGACTCAGGATGAAGCAAAGAATTTAGAGCTATTACAATGTAATTTGTGTGCCGTAGCTCTCTGGGAATTTATAATTATCAGAGAAATAATAGACCCATGGTCAAACAGCTTCGGGCCTATAAACTGGATGAAAAAAAAAAAAACAAACAAAGGAAAAAAAAGTGGTCTAGGACATTTGGAGGTGCAGGGACAAGCCAACAAAAATGCCTTCCTCGTACGTTTATAGCATGTCATAGTTTACATGGTTTTCCTGGATCTTATCTTATTTGACGCTTTGTGAAGCCTGCGAGGAGGACCCCCTCACCCCCTTAAGCCACATGAGGTCACAGGTTGAATCAATTCTGCTAAATAACTTGCTCAAAGTCACCGTAAGATTGTGCACTAGATCTCAAATCCTTTCCCAGCTTCCAATGATGCCAAGCTAAGTAGCAGCATCTGTGCCTTCTGGGGCTCCTCCTTCCCTTTGCAGTGAGAATTAGTAACAGGTCCCCCACCTTGCTCATTTGCTTGTTCAGCCTTCCATTTGAGCAATCTTTAGCCCTTCAATAGTTGTGGAGTCCACAGCTTGGCTCTGGTGAGCAAAATTATGCCCTGAATTGACAGACAGGAAATACCCTTTGTTAGGAGGACTGGAGAAGGATGCCCAGATACCTTTGCCACTACTGCCATCTCCTGTTCAGAGTGGCTCACCCAGAACTGCCTTTACACGCATTTGCTGTAAATTCAAGTGTCATACCCAGGCCAAACTGATTCCAGGTGAGAGTCAGGAATATTCCCCCATGCATTTGAGCATCCCTGTCAACCTGTTCTGGAAGCAGCATCTTTTGGTGGCCAGTGTTAGAAGGTAGTGTGAACAGGATTAAGGAATTGAAGACTGCTGTTTGCAGAAAGAGGGAACTGGAACGAAGAGGTCTCTGTGAGGTGGAGACGTGGTCAAAGACGGAGGAAAAGAAGACGGCAAGGTGCATCTACTCTGAGTGTCCTGCATGAACCACCACTCTGAAACAGAAATCTCAGTGCAGGCCATGTGCAAGAGAATCGAAGGAACATAGAAAATCGGATCCTCTTCCGATTTCAAGAGGAGTCATCAAAGAAGCCTCAGATGAAGCTGACTTTTCCAGATAAAAAGTTATGGGTATCCTTGTTGTATTATATATCTCACCATCCACCAAGTCTTGGAAATAACTCACAGGTGAATTCAACCTTTTTGCTCCTGATGCTGTAGATTCCTTTTTTTGTTTGTTTAAATTTATTTTTATTTATTTATGTTTTGGCTTCGTTGGGTCTTCGTTGCTGTGCGTGGGCTTCCTCTAATTGCAGCGAGTGGGGACTTCTCTTCCTTGTGGTACGCAGGCTTCTCATTGCCGTGGCTTCTCTCGTTGCGGAGCACGGGCTCTGGGCTCGCGAGCTTCAGTAATTGTGGCACGCGGGATCTAGAGTGCAGGCTTAGTCGTTGTGGTGCACGGGCTTAGTTGCTCCGTGGCATGTGGGATCTTCCCGGACCAGGGCTCGAACACGTGTCCTCTGCACTGGCAGGCGGATTCCTAACCACTGTGCCACCAGGGAAGTCCCAGGAGTGCAGATTCTTAAAGGGCCTGGTGAGAGGCATGGCCAAATACATTTACTAACCAGTGTATTTGCAGAGGCTAATGTTCTGAGGGTGAAGAGGATATTTTGGGGCCAAGTGTAGCATAATCTAAATTTGATTCTTGCTCAAAAGTGACCACTTAGTTCTATTTCTAGTTTTTCATTTTTAAGAGGGAGAGTAGAATGAATTTTATGAAGATCAACCATTCTAATTTAGTCTGCCATTCATGGGAATTGCATTAGGTAACGGGCGGCCTCCAGCCAGACAGACAGCTATTAGACTGCTCTCCTACTTGATAAATTAGCTTTATCGGGTCCCTACAGCTTTGCTTTCACCTTGTGAAATCTGTATTCAGAGGCCAAGTCCCTTTGCAGTGTTGTTATCACGCTTATCCCTGGAGCTCTGGCTTCAGTTCCAATTTATAAGAGTAAAATGGATTTCAAGGCCTTTTTATAAAATATGACTCAGCTTCATATTTAAAGAAAAGACAGGTTAAACACTACTGACAGCCACATTGGTTGGAAAACTTCTCAGGTGGCATTGCTCTTATAATCAAGAACCTTCTAAGATAGTTGTTCTCAAACTGTAGCCTTCATTGGGATCACCTGGAGGGCTTTGTTAAAAACAAATTGCTGCGCTCCACTCACAGATGCAGTCGATCTCGGGTGGGATCTGAGAATTCGCCTTTCTAACAACTTCTAGGTGTTGTTGATGATGGGCCTGGGACCAGGGGTGGAGAATCACACACGTTTACTCTTTTTTTTTTTTTTTACCAACCTCTCTCCACCTCTTTCTTTCTTAATCTCTAGATCATAATGATACTCGTTCAGGCCTGTTATGGGCTGAATCTTGTCCCCCCAATTCGTATATCGAAGACTTAACCCCCAGTAGGACCCCAGAATGTGACTGTATTTGGGGATGGGGTCTTTAAATAGGGAATTAAGATAAGATGAGGTCATCGGGGTGGGACTACATCCAATTGAAGACCATCATAGAAAAAGGCTGAGCTTGCCTAGGGAAGAGGGAGTTCTGCCAGTGGACTGCAGAGTGGCGACATCGACCCTGCCCTGGTTCTCCAGCCTGCCGCCTACCCTCCCAACCTCAACAATTTCGTGAGTCACTTTCTTAAATTTTCTCTTCCTGTTCAGACACACATATCCATCCTCTTGGTTCTGTTCCTCTGGAGAACCTTAATACAAGGTTTCATTCCCATTCAAGTTCTGCTTGAAGTCTGAGGATAAAGTTTTTCTTATGAGTATTTTCCGGTAAATATAAAGCACTGGGAAAATGGAACTTACTGGCTTTTCTCACATATAACTATCGCCTAATGTCTAATCGTCTGTTCAGATGTACTGAATATTTACGGTGTGTGGGGGCTGCTGTTTGCTCAAGAAGAGACCCCAACAGGCTCTCCGTCATGGGGACCATGCTCTGAGTTGCTTTTTGAATAGTCTTGTTTGTGGTCAATGTTGTGGTCGATGTTATAACAAAAGTATCTCCCAAGTCTGTGACTGTTCATCTGGACTGTGGTTTAACTAGAAGAGCTAGTTCAGGCCCCTTAATATGAGGGGTGAGTGGTGTGGAATTTCCTTGGAGTATCCGGAATGCTTTACAAATGTGTCGGTATGAGTGGATGTGGTGTCTTATTATCTTCATTTTGACTTTTCCCGAAGTCCTGCCTCACACACTGAGGATTTAATGAGCTTTCACAGAGATCTCTATATCAAAAGAGCCCTTGCAGAGCCATAAGCTTTACTGAGCTTGCTCTTATCTTTTGTTTCGTTTTTTTTTTCCTGCCTCTGGCATCGATGCGATTGAACTTGGGCTATTTAGGTTTGCGGCACAGAGGAGACACCTGTGAAAAATCCGCCTTTTGAGGCTGCCCATCCAAGAGGGGTCGTTCTTGGGCTGCCTTGTTTTCAGTTTGCTTCATGAACAGAAACTAGAGCTCTCAGAATGGCTCAATCCTAGATAACCACAGTGAAAAAGACTTCATCAAACCTGAAACCCAGGTTTTATCTCCCAAAGCTGGAAACCTTGAACTTGTGTGTTGGGACTGGAAGGGAAAATCACACATGTTGAAATGGCAGCACCTGCTGGTCAAGTGTGATATGGCAGCTCGAGAGAAGCAGCTGAGCTTCAGGCAAGCCGGGAGCTAGTCCCAGGGGGTTTGTCCGTTGCCTTGCGGAAACTTTCCGCGGGAGGAATTCTTATCCGAGCTTGTGAGGGGTGGAGTGTAGATTGACCCAAGCTGGAGGGTCAACGCCAGTGTCAGAAGGTTCTGTGAAGCCTCCCGCCGTTCTGAAAGTGCCACAGTACTCGTTCTGCAAACAGTGCTATGAGTATATACCAGTCCCCCTTGTCTATCTTCTTAAAAAGTTCACAATTTATTTTTAATGGCTTGCTTTCATGTGGTAATCTCCTACTGAGCAACAAAATAAAATTGGAGAGTAAAATTCTTTTTACAGAAATCTGCTAGCCAACAAAAGTTCTCAGAAAAGACATTTATTCCGGAGTGGAAGAAGTGACCAACCTGGATTTTGTCTCAGGCTATATCATCAAGGGGTTTATATCACTAGCTTCCTGAATGCCAAGTGAAAGCGTAATGGGAATTTTATGGCATGTTCTTGATATGTGGTATATATGAAAGCTGATGATTGACTGCTAGTTAATAGAGTTCACTTAAATTACCCATCAGTGTTACATTTGCCCATGTTTGACTTCTTGAAGCATTTTGATATAGCATAATAACAATAAAAAATAGATTAGCCAGGTGGCGTTAGGTCCATCTTCCAGATGGGGGGGTCACAGACACAAGAAACTGAAAAGGTTTATTGAAGATCACATTGTTTGTTAGAGCTGGCACCCAGATGGCATGTCCCTAACGGCTACTATGGTGCTTCTCAAACTTGATGGGATGATGACTTGCATCCATAGGTTATTGTGCTCCTGTCTAAAGCAGCGGTTCCCAACCTTTCTGGCGTGGGACCGGTTTCGTAGAAGACAATTTTTCCATAGATCAGGGTGGGGGAGGGGATGGTTGGGGGGGTAATGGGAGCGATGGGGAGCGATGGGCAGCGGCAGATGAAGCTTTGCTTGCTTGCCCGCCGCTCACCACCTGCTGTGCGGCCGGGTTCGTAACAGGCCATGGACTGGTACCGGTCTGCGGCCCGGGGGTTGGGGACCCCTGGTCTAAAGGAGCGAATGAAAATATAAGGAAGATATTTGTTCCACTTTCGGATTAGAGGTTTAGTTCTTCTAGGTTCACACATGGACTTCATGGAAACCAAATACACTAGGGCATCCTGTGGATACATGGCAACGGCACAGACAACAGCGAGTTAGGCAAGGTGAACAAAGTTAACGCCTGCCTTTCGGCAATGTGCCCTCGGTCTAAAACTTGGTATCAGGCATTAGGTGGTTGCATCTGTTGTGTTCTGTCAGATGGTATGGTTACCTGTAGATAAGTTGTTCAGACAGAGGTGATGAAAATGGCCAAAAGGTTCTAGAGCTCTGATTTCTGGCCCTCTACCTTCCTGCAAGCAGCAATCAATCCACCCCCTTTGTGTTTCTTTGCTTTCTGAAAAACTGAAAACCCTGCCTAGCCACCTTCATTCTCCTCCTTTCTGCCTGGTACACTCTGTACAAAGTAGAGTTGACAAGGAGATTAATGTGATGACATGTAAGGTCTAGAAGTTCTAGAAGGATGGAAAGGAAACTCATTTTGCCGGCAGTAGGAAAGGCCTCCTGTGTGCTGGGTGTCATGCTTGCTTCTATACACATATCATTTCTTTTAAGTCATCAACAGTAGCCAGGAAAAGTAGATGTTTAGGTTTTGATGGAGAAATCATGGCTCAAATGGATATCTTGCCTCAGGTCCCTGTGCCCACTTCTCTCTCTGACATCACACTATGTCGCTAAACATTAAGGATAGCCAGGCATAGGGAAATGAGAGTAGAGTGGGGAGTTTGAAGTCGATGGAGGGTATGACTAGTGTCTTCAGTATTTGAGGAAGTGAGGCCCAAGAATAGGAGAGAAGGTGGGGGACTAGGTAGGTTCTACTCATCTTGGCTTTAGAGAGAAATGTACTTGGATAAACTGTTTGCTTTCATTCAAGTCATTGTGGTTTGTCCAGCAGAGCATTTTGCATTTCTGCATTTTAACCGGACCTCCAGATGATTCTGAATTACGCCAAGGTTTGAGAGCCACTTCGTTACTCTGTAATATCTACTATGTGGAAATTTTAGTCTTTCCTCATCTATACATGAAAAGGTATCTTTAGAAACAAACCGGCAGCAATCATCGAGTGTGCTTGATTAGACTTAATCTGCTTTCTCTCCTAATAAGTAATGGAAGATGAGATAGATGTAATACTAGGAACCGTCTAGGTATTATAAATACAGCCATTGAAGGTTTTATTTTTTCCTTTTTGGCAACATATTTGAACTCTTTAATTCTAGAGACAATATAATTTCTAAATAGAACATCACATCTGAATTTTTACTTTATCTTTTATCATATTTTCTTTGAAATTATCTCCTGAAGACAATGAAATTTTAAAAGGCCAAAAAATTATTCAAATGACCACAGATCACTTGTTAAAATGTCCTATGACATTCATTTAAAGATAACAATATCAAAAACCCTTCTAAAACTTAAAGACCAAAGAAAGGATCAATATTCCTTCTCATTTCTGCCCTATCCCAATTCCCTAAGAAAAGAAATATCTTTGAAATTATAGGATTTTAAGATTGTAGGATTTCAAAAGAGACCAAGCATGGCAGTACTGGACTGTGTATTAATGTTGCAGAAATTAAGTAGGCAGAAATACAGAGAAGACTTCCTGAAATTGCATGCTTTAATCTGCATGTTGAGCTAGACAGTGATTTGGAGTAGAGGTCTGGAGAGAGACCAACTAGAAGGGCTGTGACAGAAATATTAAGGGAATCGTGAAACAGAAAAAATGGTCTTCCTGGCTTCCAATATCAAGTTCTCCCTTCTATTCAAACTTCATTGTTTATAAAACAGGTCCTGTTCTTTTTGAAATACTAATTTAGGCGAGTTCTCCCAGAAAACTTTCCTCATCCATAAATCCTATTTGCAAGTGTTTTGATACATATTTATTGATGAAACTTTATACATGTTGATTTATAATATATATTAACATTGATTCAATCATATTTTAAAATCTGTTCTCGGCTTCTGGAGTAGAGGGACCTTATTGTATTAAATGTGTTTTGTTCAGTGGATATTTACTGACTTCCTATTGCATATTTTGCACCGTAATAAGGCATTAAGATGCATGTGCCGTATGACCTGATCTCTGTCATCAGAAAAATTAAGTTGGCTGACAATACAAAGCCAGGATAAGTTAAGAGGTAAGTTAAGAATTGAACACAGTAGTGCAAAGGATTTTTTTTTTTAAGACAGTACTTGCTGAAAAGCCACATCAATTATTGAATACAAGGTAGTGATTGCCATGAACTCAGAGCATAGTCCTTAGTATTCTTTCCACCTAAAGTGTGAAATTCCTTCAATAGCTTTTGAACAGATTTCCCCTGGTAGTTGAGAGGGGCTCAGCCTCTGTTGTAGCAAGGGCCCTCCTACCCCTATGTTCTCCTTTTCTGTGGATCAGACCGACCTTGCATACCGATCGCTTTCTGAGGTGTAATAAATGACAAATGGAATATAATTGATAGTAACAGGAAAATACTTCGTATTTAGAAATTAATTCAGTTAGGTCAACTTTCAGCTTTAAACAGCAATTCAGAATCGAATGTTTGTTGCATGAACATAACCTCATCCACCTCAACAATTTTCTGAGACACACAAACTTGAGAGGTTTCAATTCTATGTAGTAACACAGAATTTACAGTTGCTAGTGGAAAATACTGTGTAAGATTTTCCTAGATTGGAAGCTGTTGGGATTAGAATGTCACATATACTTATAAAAAGGAACCATCCTGATATATTTCTCTATTAATCGTATCCCCCCACCTGGCCACATCTTTAAGACTTGTAGTATGGTGTTTCTGATCTAAAAGAACGATGAAGAAAAATCATTACTTGAGACAGTTAGAGGATCAGTTAGAATCTTCCCGGTACCAAGCCA